ATTATGAAGTTATAGTAATTAAAAAGTAGGTATTGGCATAAAAACAGACATACAGATCAATGGAAAAGAATAGGCTTGAAATGACCTCACACATAACTTGTCAATTAATTTATGAAGAAAGAGCCAAGAATATACAATGGGAAAAAGACAGCCTCTTTAATAAATGGGAAAACTGGGACAGACACAAGCTGGGAATAAAAGTAATACTAATACCAAAGACAAACATTAACTCAAAATGGATAACCAAATTGAACGTAAGACTTAAAACCCTAAAACTTCTAAAGAAAAACATAGGCTGTACCTCCCCGACATCAGTTTTGATATGGAACTTTTGGATCTGACTCCAAAAGCAAAAGAAACAAAGGCAAAAATATAAAAGTGGAATAACATCAAACTAAAAACCTTCTGCATGACAAAGGAAGCCACCAAAAAAAAAAAAGTCCACCTAATGAATCAGAGAAAATAATTACAGATTATGTATCTGAGGAGCTAATATTCACAATACACAAAAAACTTAATAACAAAAACAAAAATACCCCCAATCTGATTTTAAAAATGGACAGAAGACCTGAATAGATGTTTTCCAAAGAAGTCATACAAGTGGCCAACAGGAACATAAAGGGATGCTCAGTGTTATTAATCATCAGGGAACTGCAAATCAAAACCACCCTAAGATATCACGTCACACCTGTCAGATAGCTATCATCAAAAAGACAACAAATAATAAATGTTGGAGATGATGTGGATAAAAGGGAACCTGTACATCCGTGGTGGGAATGTAAATTGGTGCAACTACTACGGAAAACAACATGGAGGTCCCTCAAAAAATTAAAAATAGGACTATCATATGATCCAGCAATTCTACTTCTAGGTATTTATTTGAAGATAATGAAAACACTAATTTGTAAATATATATATATTATATATAATATATATATTTGTATATACATATATATATATAGTTTTCAATAGTCAAGATATTGAAACAACCCAAGTGTCCATAAGTGGATGAATGGATAAAGAAGATGTGGTGTGTGTGTATAGATATAGATATAGATATAGATATAGACATAGACATAGATTAGATATAATTTATCTACAATAAGATACTACTCAGCCATAAAAAAAAATTGAAATCTTGCTATTTATGACAACCTGGATGGACCCTGAGGGTATTAAGCTAAGTGAAATAAGTCAGACAGAGAAAAACAAATACTGTATGTTCTCTCTTACATGTAGAATCTAAGAAAAAAACCCAAAAGGAAACAAAAAACAAGTTCATAGATTCACTGAACAGATTGGTGGTTGCAAGAGGTGGGGGGCTAGAGAGTGGGAGAAATGGATGAACTTTTTTTCTTAGTTGAAACAAGTTGAATTCAAACATTTTAAAAATTTGTTATTACATCTGGTGAGAGTTTATACAACGTCTTTGGTAAGAATTTTGAAAATACAGCAAGAAATTTATATAAAATTATTTACTTTTACCTATTATTTTCCCTTTTCAGAATCTGATGTGTTGAAATAATTATAAAGTCAAAGGAAAATGTATAAGTAAAGAGCACTGCATCATTACTTATGATGATGAACTATGGAAAAACATTTCCAGCAATAAATATATATGAAATTACAGGACACTCATGGATATCATGTAGCCACTAAATGGATATTTTCTGAGAAGATTTAATAGAGGTAGATTCATTCCTGTATTTCTCCAAAATTTCTACCATTAACCTGTACAATTATTTTTTAAGCAAAAAAACAAAAAACAAAAAAAACCCAAAATTTAAATGCAGTGATACCCTTATGTAAATGAGTAATTAAAGGAAATTTTCAGTCAATTCTAAGTTATAAAGTATAATGTGTCTCACTAGGTCAATAGTGGGATGAATTTCTACTCTGTGAAAGTCTGGTAACAATGAATATAACATTCTCTGTTCTGGAAGGTTCTGAAAATGGGTTCCTGGCCATAACAAGGTCACATCTCTGAATGACACTCTCAGGGATCAAGCTGAGCAAGACTAGAGTGTCTGTCTTTTAATTCTCTTGACTACTACAGCCTTAAAGGACTAAGTCAGGCTCACCTCTTGAACATATTTTCAGAACTGTACAGCAAGATTTCTGGAATTTTATCCAAGAAAGTGCTGTCCAGACATTTCCGGATATTTTAAAGTTATTTAAAGAGGACAAAGTTCTTTTTTTCATATTGTGAACAACATATTGATGCCACTTAAAATGGAAGTGCTAGGGTGTAACCACCTTAAAATTGATTAAAACTCAAACCCACCAATTTACATATTTTATATGCATTGAGTTACTCTTATATATTTTGTCCCCAGTACTTCTGCTATTTTGTGTCTTTTGCTTTCTACACTGGAATAGTTTAAATGATTACTATCAGAATCTTTCCAGTTTTGAGAAGATGAAGGAACTGGAGAAAAAGGAAGCCACAAGGGATATGGAAAGGAAAGGTGGGCACAGCCAGCAAATGGCAGATAAAGGAGAATATGGCGATGAAGACAAATCCATGTATTTCATGATTTTATCTAGGACATTATTATTGTTATATATTTACAGGCAAACTGGAGAGCTGATGGATTTACAGTTACCAAGGTCAGATGGATGTGTGTATAACTTTGCTAGGATGTTCAAGTTAGGTCACCAGACATATACCAAGTTGGCTTTGTGTAGTTATTGATTATTGTTCTTATACTATAGTTCATGTGGTAGTTTTATTATCCTCTAAGGTCAATCCTCATTTAAGGACAAGGTTGAGTCAGATACCTGACCTCTTGGCCAATGAGACTATTGGAGATTCTAACCTTATCCTAAGAGTAGATACCACTTACAGGCTGTCCATCACTGGTCCTGGCCAGTCTCCTGACTCCCACCCGAGGAAACTTCATTCAGTTCCCTTTTCTTAAGATATAACACATTTGACCTTGAATTTGATAGCTTTTTCAAGCCTGGAAAGGCAAAGATTAAATCCCTAGGAGTTGAAAAATCAAAGTTCACTTTGTAGAAAACAAATATATTTTAGGCATGTGGAGTCCTTTTGTTTGGTCCTTAATATTATTTCCTATTTTCACTTACCTTTTGATCAGCTGTTCACCTACCCCAATACTATTGCAGTAACAATACTAACAGGGTAGTTTTTTCAAATCAATTGTTGCTCCAAAAATTCAAGGATTAAGGTTAAACTTCTTTAGTTAGTAAATGATTTATCCTATACACTGAGAGTTGGAATCAGAAAATAAAATTAAACAAAAGTTGTTTAAAAGAATCCAAATCCCAGGTTGATGTCTCTAGTTTGTTACTTAAAGAGAACTCATGTTCCTTTTGGTGGAGGTAATAAAGGAGTTATAGTACTTCTCAGAGAATTTTGCTAACTCACATGCCCATATTTCCTCAAATGAATATACAGTTGTAACTTCCAATCTGCATAAGAAATTTTCATAATTTCAAATCTATTTGATTAGTCTTTATAATTTTTGTTCAAGAAAAAGTAATTTTTTAAAAGGAAAGCTTTACGAATTATTCCATTTTGTATAACACTTTAGTACAATGTAGAGAGCAATAGATAATATAAGAAAACCTAAAGGGCAATCATCACAGTATTCTTTTAATTATGTTGTCAAGTAAAAAGATACAATTTCATTTTCACTATGTTCACTACTGACAACTGGTACCATAAACTTCTTTTCCACAATGTATATAGTTTTGTATAACTCCTTAGAAATACATCTTCCTAGAAGTTATTGAAAGGTGTGTATAAGTGTGGCCACTTAGAATTTGCATTTCAACATTTTCTCAGGAAGTAGCAATAAAATCTAATGTACTTCAATATACCATGAGTAAAGAGTACAATGCAATTTTAATATATCTCTTTGTTTCATATATAGCACTGTTTAATGATGTCTGTGGTCTTCTATTTCAAAATAATGACGATTAGAATACCACTTACATGTATATGGCATCAATTCAAAGGCTTGAGTTTACTGTCAAAGAAGCATATTGATACCCTGACTTGTATAAGTCTTGCATATGTTCATGACTTAAAGTTAGTAAATATTTCCAATGTTAGAAATCTGGTGACTATAGTAATTTCATAGGTTCTAAGACCATATCTTTTTGCACTATAAATTTGAATACACTGTTATTAAAGGTGATCACATCTGTAATCTTCATTTTGAAGATGACTTACAATTTTAATCCAAATTTTCACTCGCCAAACAATAATAGCAATGATAACTTAAGGGATGGGCTATCAATTGTATATAATAGAGTATTTCTACTGTCAAATGGTGAGTATAGGAAAAAATTCCTTAACAAACATGAATATATGGTTAAAATTATACTTAAAATTATACTGAATATAGATACATCACATTCAGAAATTCTAGACTGAGCTCTAAGATAACTATGTCAGAATTCTGACTTGTATACAACTGGATATTTTTACCAAAGCAATTTTGTTCATGTTCTTGCATTCCAAACCTATTAGTCCTTTAACCAAGCCACCTGCTCACATTTTTATTAAAAATAAAATAGCATAATTCCTTTATATTTGATTAGATAAAAATGATTTTTAACTGTAATGGCGACACTTAATGAATCTGTATCTTTTCTCCTAATATGCAAAAATTGTATTTTAATGTATTAATGGTATATTATACCTCAAAGAGTTCCACACTGCCTGTTGTAAAACCAATTCAAGCCTTATAAAATGACAATATAATGCCATCAGTAAAATCTTCAACCCATCTCATTTCCTTACAACCATCTGAAAAACACACAAGTCTTTATATCCATATGTCCAGGTTGGTCCTAATGCACACACTGTGGGGGATGGAATGGGCCATGTTTGCTGGGATTTCCTAATTTTGCTCCCTTTATATACACATAGGTTTGGCTTAGAGGAAGACATCAGGTTACAATCTAGGCTTATTAACTGTCAGAATGTATTGAGAAAGGGTATTAACCAGAATTAAGGAATTACTCACCCAGCTGAGTCTCCTGAATTGTCAGTTTACTTTCCACAGGATACAAAAGCTTGGGTGGCTTATCAGTCAGAGGTGCTGAAAAACAACAACAATACAGGCTTCTAGTTATACTGTATGAGCTGAATGATGCACAGTTTTATTTTCCCAAATATTTTTTTATTCTGAGAGCAGTGTGTCAAAGCATTCTACCAAGTAATGACTTACATATTGCAGGTAGTACCTTCAGGCGAGCTAAAAAGCTACTAGATTGTACATGAGTCAAATATAACACTTCCAAATTGATAGTCACATGAGACCATTGAAGTAAGAATCAGGATTGGCCAGTTTGTAAGAACATATGACAGTGCTTCATCAAATATTTTCAATTTGCACCTTGTTTTCCATTTTAAAAGCTACTCTATATTTTCTCTGTGTTAATTAAAATTAAACATTTGTGACAATTTGGGGGACATAACGTTGTCTTATTCTCCTTAATCCCTTTCTTAGTTTCCATACCCTGCATTACACTGCCTCAAAACTCATAACTTAATAAGAAAATTAAGTATTTCTTATACACAGTCACTAAATGGGATAGCAATGTGGCATTTAATTAGTCCAAGTATAAGCTGCATGCTCAAACATGCACACAGGTATTCACCAAGATAATATTTTAAATGATACTTTCCATTTACTTGAAACTCATTATTACTATTACTCATTACATTTTGTAGCATTTATTGCTAATTTGCATGATGTACTTGCTTTGATTTTTCAGCTTCCACATATTTCTGCTCTGCGCTCTTATCAATTTATCAGTTATCAGGCTACAGATCTAAGAGTTCACTACTAAGCCCCTTGAAGATAGATTTCCTACTGCAAACCTCATTCCTAGCTAAACTAGACTGTCTGGACTTTAGACAAATAGGCAGTTCTCCTTCATTAAGCCTCCTTCCCCACCCTCTCTGATTGAATCTCCAAGGTCCCTTGAAACCCATCACTGCAACCTTCACTCTGTAACAAGTACAGAAATGATCAATTAAGGATTTTTGAACTAAATGTTTTCACTTCGAGGGCTTTATTCCTTCCTTGCCAGGAGAACATGCCAGTTTGGGGGATTACTGGAAGGCTGATCTACACAACAGTGCCAGGACTTGGCCACATGTCCTTATCACCAAAGGATTCGAGAATTCAATCTGCCTCGGCAGCTCACCTTCATCTCTCTTTAACAGAAAACACAGCCAGTACAAATGAATCATGCATCCCCAACATAGAAAAACAGGGATGAATTTTAAGAGTCCTAGTTTCGGACATCAACCTCACATAGGATCAATAGCTTTCATTTGTAACTAATTGAATGCATTATTCATTCATCTTCGTTAGCATTTAACACAGGGATAGAAATGAAGGGGAAAAGAAAGTTGGGATAATGGGATGAGATAAATCACTCTGAAATTCTTCTCAAAGATTTGACATCTCTGATTAACCTTACTCTTATTTCTTGCCTGAAGTGAGATTAACAGATTTTTATTCTCCCACCAGCTAAATAAGCAGATTATTCAATAAACATTGGCAAAATAGTTCACCATTAATGGGTAGGTCAAAAAGCCACATTTCCTAGGATCAGGTTCTCATATGATTTCAGTGAATTTCAAAAGCAACTATGGTACCAAAATAACTGGCTTATTCAGTAAATTAACTCAATTTATAAAATTTTGTGATTATGTAGTTACAAGTAGACAACTCAACAGTTTGTTGCAGAAAGCAGCTGAGAGAAATATTCTCTGTTCAAACACATCCCACACTGATTTCTAGTAAGAGAAAAAAGCTGTAGAGAAAGATAATAAAATGCAAATGTATCACATTATTTCAGAAACATAAAGTGGTTTTGTGGTTCTCCACCTCAACCCACCACCCACCCTGTGGCATAATGTTATATCTTTAAGACCTTTCATATTACTCTCTATGTGATGACTCCAAGTTAGCAGAGGAATCAAAGAAAGTGGAGCCAGAGAAAATTATATGCTTATTAAGTCCTTTGATTTTTAAATTGTGTTCCCTAAAGCCCTATAATTTCCATAGTGTCCCTCTAGGCAGGTGAAGTGAAGATTGAGATAAAGGGTGGTCCATGCATGGCTTGACTTGTTGTACCACCCATCCCTCTAAGGACAAAAGGATCTTTACTTTTATTCATCTCATACATCAGTATTTCGCCTAAGATTTTTACCCCAAAAATTCAGTTCAACTCAACTGATGTATATGGAACACTATAATGTGCTAAGCATTGTGATGGGGGTTCAGGATATCTCTGGTTTCTGCCCTTATATTTTACAATAATCAGAAGTTAAAAAATGAATTAAAAATCTGGGCTGATTGAACTCCCTTGTTTTAGAGATACAGGATCTGAGGTGCAAAAAGCACAACTGGTTTGTCAAAGGGAACAGAACAAACTGAAGCTAGAATCCTTTCTAGTTCTTTTCACCGAATTATTTGTTACCTGCTCCAAGAAAATTCTGTCAAGCAAGTATGATAGCTTTGTGCAGGGGTCCTCTCAAGGTGTGAACAATCTGTTAGGAGGGCAAAAACGTGCAATTAAGTAACCCTAACCTATGGCAGAGCGCTCTTACTGTGCAATCTGCCATGTGTATCATGCTTTGATATTATGCTCTGACAGTTTATTTATCAGTAGGCATGCTTCTTGTATGACTCACGTATCTTTGCTAAAAGTGAATGGAAACTTCCAGAGAATGCAATAGCTGAACTACAGATCTGACACAATGGCAAAATGACTGTGAAAAGAAGTGACCGTTCAAGCAAAGATGTAGCTCAGCTTTGCAGTCATTTGAGGGGGACCAATTTTGCTGCCACAAATAAAGGATATACACTCAATTATCCATTATTTGGATATTTTTGATACTTTACGGTGAACATACTTGAATTGAATCGACAGAAGATAGAACTGGCAAACAAATGTAAGAATATTAATATGCAAACAAAATTAACACACACACATGCACACAAACGCAAAGCCTTCTTTATTTTCTTCATGGGCAAAGGTGGGACTACAAGGAAATTCAAACAAATTGCTCACAATAAAAAAAAAAAAACAAACTAATTAGCATCAGACCATGACTAGACCAACTGACATTTTATTGTCTAGAAAACAACTTGCCTTTTGGGACACTCTCTTTCATGCTCTTTCTTCTCTCTCTCTCTCTCTCTCTCTCTCTCTCTCATACACACACACACACACATGCACACACACACACAAGACACACTCACTAAACTGAAATTATTGAAAAACTAAAGAAAGTCTGGCAGTAGTGACATGAAACACAGGTTGATTTTAAATCCTAATCATATTTTAGCTACCTAAAAAAATCCCACAATAATTACAGTAGAAATGTTTTTCTGCTAATTATACATTAAAATATTTCTATGCATTCACCATCTGATGTATTTTCAAGCTCTCATTTTATTCTTCAGAACATTCTATTGACAACAATAAAGCTGACATAGTTATTTAAAATAAAAACACACTTATCTTACAGGTCTATCCCAATTATTAAGATATTCCAATTGACAACAGTGTTCTGTAGAGTAGAAGGAGAATTTTAAGGACATTTGTTTTGCTTACCAGCTGCTAGAGAAACATCTAGAAGTCAGTATATATAAGCTGCATATAGGATTGATTCTTTATCTATGCTAAGGTTCTCTAACTAATCATGAAAGGACACAGTCTCTCCCTTTTTTCCCCATTCCATGTACATTTGGGTTATCAAACACTGAAAGATAGGATCCTAACTTCCAAAAACGAAAGAAACAACAGACCAGGAGCATGAGGCCAGTCTTCTTGAATTTTTCTAATGTTCTTACAGAGGAGAGAAACAATAAAGATATTTAGGAAGAGCATACCTTTCCCTGTTGACCAACCACTCATCTAAAATTTAATTTTAGTCCCTCAAATATTAGTCCCTCAAATACTACTGAGAGTACTCAATACTTCTTGGATACCTATAATCATGCTAGGACAAAATTTGTACTTTTAAAATCATAGATATGTATTTTATTTTTTAAAAGATTTTATTTATTTATTCATGAGAGACACAGAGAGAGAAAGGCAGAGACACAGGCAGAGGGAGAAGCAGTCTCCATGCAGGGAGCCCGACGTGGGACTGGATCCCAGGTCTCCAGGGTCATGCCCTGGGTGGAAGGAGGCACTAAACCGCTGAGCCACCGGGGCTGCCCCTAGATATGTATTTTAATTGGTGCTTTTACTACTTTGTTTCTTAGAAGCATTATGGTAGAGTAAGAAAGATAATACACTTATTTTTCAGGGAGATATGGGTCTGATAATTCTTGATTCTGCCTAGTTGATTTGGAAAGTTGGAGAAGTTATTTAAACTCTCTGAGTCTCAATCTCCTTATATATAGAATGTGACATAAATAATTTTCCTTTATGGCTGGGTGTGAAGATTAAATAGGATAACAGATTAAGTTCCTGAATATAGCAGATGGAAAATAAATCTGCTCTAATAGTACCCATCAAAGACTAGGACAATAGCATTTTACATTCCGTATAGCCTGATAAGAAAAATATTATTGTTTGTAAAACAATGAACTGGATGCTTACCTAAGGATTCAAAAGTATTTAGATCCTTAATTATGAATCATTAATATTTCCTATATTAGTTTTCGTAACGGGAGAACTGACCTATCTTCAAAAACACAATTCAATAAAACCATTTTGAAGACTTTTAGATATGCAAACGGTGTACTGAGATTGCAAAAAACTCGAAGGTGAACAAAACACAGCTTTTAACTCTCACAGAGCTTACAAGCTAGATAAAAATTATATCATAATGAAATTATTAAATTTCAAGACATTTATGAAGTACTTAGCAACAGTAAGGCTATATTAGAAAGAAAGAGATCAGTAAGACAGAATCATATATAAGAATGTGTGAGATGAGAGCATATATATGATGTACTATGCTGAGTGCTATACTCAGAAGTGATTTCTTTTTGGCCTCATTTAAATCTATCAACTGAATCTGGTCACAAAACAATATTCACAGATTTACAGGGCCTATCATAAA